AGGTTAATTATTCTCCTTTATTCTTTTTCTTCCCATTTCTAAAGTTGGCTACCCTGAAGATCTGTTTATTTTTTATATAGTGATCTTGTGAAATTAAAAACAAAAACGTGCCAGGTGGTTCACAGGAGGTATGGAGTGTCCATCTTGAGTTATTTATTTCAAGTCAGTCCCAGGGCACAGGTTAAATCTGAACTACTGTAAGATACCAAACTTCAGTAAAATATTTCAGGATAAACCAGCTTTATGACAAAAATATCATGGCTTGTAACCAGTTTGCTTCATACATGATGAAAAAATACCAATAAAACAAGTGGTTCTATTTTAAATTAAAAAAGATAAAATTGTTTGAAATTATTAAAATAGTGGCATACACACTAGTATAGGACAGGTGCCTTCTGCCTGTGCAGATCAGACAGGCTGATTTGTCCTGCAGGGCATTCAAAGCGTGTTCTGACTTCACTGTGAAAACACTCTGCAGTCAGCCATCACCTACACTCCACTCTCAAATGGTCATTGCAATTGAAATTTTGATTCAGTGCTTTAATGCATCCCCACATAAATAGAAGAAAAATAGATCAAATTAAATATTCCAAACGAATGGAAAAACTATTACCAGACTCTATTATTAAAAATAAAGTATAGATTCGAATGAAAACAGCAGACTACAATCTTCTCATATGGAAATTGCACAAACTGGCACCTCGGGTCAGCTCCTTTATGTTCAGCCTGGAGTGCAGAAGAGATTGTCTCTCTCCTCTGAACCGGAGGGCAGGTACAGGCTGCGACATTATCAAGCTGGGACTTGATTTTATCAAGCCTGGCAAACTGGTCCTGATCTACAAAGGCTCACATTTCCCTGGAGACCACTGACTGCCAAGGTCTGCTACATATCAGCTGGTTGTTTTAGGCTGACACAACAGATTTGCACTGAACCATTACCCCTCCAGCCTATCACAGCTGAAAATGAAATCCTGGCAAAACCACAGGTTCTATCACAGACGCATTAGTTCACATAGTCCAGATTTCAGCCAGGTGCTTCACAAGACAGAATAGCACAGTTCAATGTCCTGTCATGCTTTGCACGAACTGTGAGACTAATAAAAAGATCAGGCTCAGGCTTGTTAATTAAAATAAATATCTTATTTAGATATACTTAATAAAAGGCTTTAGTTTATTGTTCAAAACATTTGGTTTTGATTATGAATTCAACAGGAACAGTAAGTTCAGTTCAGTCATCACGGACTGTTTATAGCCATAGTATGGGAACTGTTAACATTTTTAACTAGGAACAAGTAAAGGTTTATTCCATGCTGAAAAGAGATGAAAAAAACAACATTTGGAAGGCTCCACAGCCAAAATGTTAATTTTTTCATCTCTTTTCAGCATGGAATAAACCTTTACTTGTTCCTTTGCAGCCTTTTGCATGCAGACGCAGCTCCCTACTTACATTAAAATGAAGTCTTTGACGCCTTGTTCAAATTCTCATGATAGACAATGTGTTCTGGGTACTGGCTTAATTGATCTAATTAATGTAACAATCACACTTCTTAGCACAGAAGCTAGTGAAACTACCAGAGAGTGACAGGCTCTTACACTGACAAGCTACTGTAAAATAACCAAAACTCTTTAGTTTTGAAAAGAGAAGACTATGAAGGAACCTGATACAAGTAATAAAAATCTGTTTTGCCATATTTGGCTACTAGGTTCTTATATCACAATATTTTTTTGATTAATTGACAAGCTTAAGCAAAGGAGTATTTAAAAATCGACAACTTTAGTATTTCTGAAGCTGGGGTGTTACCAACAGTGGTTCCAATATGTATATATTTCTTTTTGTTAATACTTTTTATCAGCACAAAACAGGACAGAACAGCCAAAGCTATGGACAAATTATCTTCATTTCCACATGAAGATTATATATACAAAAAGTTTCCGGTAATTATTTTTATGCTTGTGGGAAATGTAGTGGCTGGAATGCTACCAGATACAACTATGCACACACAAGGACAACTTAGAAAACCCACTAACCCAGGCAGCCACTCTGAACTGTGGGAGGAAACCAGAGAAATTTCACACAGACATAAGGAGAACATGCCCTAGAACTGTGAGTAACAATCTGAAACACCACACCCCTACGCTGTTGGTATTTGCCAAACAATCTAAAAGAAAAGTTCTGCCATATCATTTTCCTTCATCTCACTCACATGTACAGTAGCAATCTGGCCATGGATTACAGTCATAAGACAATGCATGAAAAAAGTATCAAACTGTACATTGGCTTTCACTGAGTTCTGCGCACTGGTAAAAACAGGGCTGATCACATAAGAGGGAAAGTAAAAGATGTGCCGTTTTTATCTCCAATTCAGGAGATGTTCGGTCAAGCATGAAGACAGGAAGGAAATGTTCAAAAATTGCCTGGAGGAGCACGTTAGAGAGAAATAAGATGCTCTGGTTTGTAACACATCAATTGTTCCCCTATTTTTTCTTTTCACAACTTGGTTTAATGTCAAATGCTGTCAAATATCTAAATACTGTAAATAATGGTCAAATATATTTCCAAAAGAAGGTAGCTGACCCAACAATGCTCTCCTCTCTTGTAAACCTAGGAGCATCAGGTGGCTGTACCTTTCCATCTGTGCTAACTATAAGAGAGCCCGAGATCAAATAACTGCAATAAAGAAGGCTTACTCCAGTATCTTGGGAAATACTTCCCACAAAGTGCTGAAACTCCCATTCAAATCAAATAACCTGTTCAATATCAAATCCATTTTTATTTTATGACAAGACGGTCTATTGCTAATTTTAGCATTCCAATCATCTCAAAACCCAGTAATAGTAATAGAAGAGACGGATTTATCACACACACAGGTCAATCCCATTGCACTAAGCCAAACACATTTTCCTGACCCGTTCAGTTTACTTACTCAAAGGATTTCCTCTTGGATTTAAACATCTTTGCCCAGAGGGTCTGCAGATCATGCGTGCTATTCAATAAGTATTGGGCTGTTCTAAGAGAGACTAGGTGTGTGGGATATTGAGAGCAATCCTTTTTACATCTGAAGTGCTTCTCCTGGAAACATTCTCTATATGTGTCCAGTGCTCTGTAAGGTAAATTAGAATTTAGGGATAGTTTTATTTATGTCACAAGGTATAGGATACTATAAACCATTTTATATGTAGTTCTCTTTTACAGCGTTTCAGCAACATGAGGTAGTCAAGGTTCTTTCATTGATCATTTTACCTTTAGGATGTAAGCCTAAAATAATCAGATTTTCTTGTAAAATAAGGGCTGTAATACTAGACAGCTTCAATTTTATTTGAAACATGATCATGATATTTTACTCATTGACGGTTTTCTAAATTTTATTCCTGAAGGTTATACTGTATAAACAGATTTTATCGACAGAATATATTTTCTTCCCAAAATATATTATGTGGAGAAAAAAATAACTGAGGTTTGGGAGAATTTGTGTTGCACAATATTGCATCTATATTAAGACTTCTTTGTATTATACTGTTTATATGACAGCTGTATTTTTTTTTTATTTCTGAGATTATTTTTATACCTCTAAATCAAAAAGGAAGTCTAATAAGATTATCAATCATTTTTCCCTCACTTGCCTATGGCAGAAACAGTTGTTGTGAAAATGTCAGGCTGTGCTCATCCAGTCCTGAGCTAGAAAAATTGAGCTGTCTATCAAAAACAGGATTTCAGTCTCATCAATTTAACTGGTTTACGACTCACACCCGCCTTCTTCTGCTCTACAGCTACTGATCTGCATTCTCTGGGACTATAAATTCCCAATCAAGGGGTATGCATCATTACCGCCTGCCTTTATTTATCTGCCCTGTTCAGATGCAGTCTGGGGTGAAACAGAACAAAGTTTAAATCAGCTTTTTGGAGAAATGCCCAAAAGTCAACAGAATGATTTACATAAGCCGGATTCCTGAGGCCGTATCTTAATTCTTGATTTTCCTTTCTGTAGTTTTTCTATGGACTGAAGTTCATTATAGAGGGAGATTCTGAGCCCAAAATACATTGAAAAATTTGTTCTAGGATGAGTTGACCATATTTTCACCTATTCCTACTCATATAGTGTACTAAACTGCAGTCTATTCTTATACTGGGGAAAAATAAAAGAGTGGACTAGGGTAGAATTTAGAAATCGCAACACCCATAAAGGAAAACTCTTAAACTGAGAGAAGAGGGTCATTTTATAGGCATATTGAAAATAAATAACTAGCAATACACTATACTGTACATGGAGTAAAAGTAAAAACTGGAAGCATCTCAGAGAACAGTAGCCGCCTAATGCATTCACAGTGAAATCACAATCCAGGAAAAATAAATATGGCATCACAGGCCTAATCACTGCTACTGTCAATACTACAGTACATTGCATTATATTACATTACAAGTACAAAAGCTTAATACATCTACAGCGACGTGCAATTGGAACAACACAGGTCGATACAAGATTCAGGTAATAACCAGGACTCCACAATCCCAATGACCTCTGGCCTGTACATAATCAGCTGTCGGAATCACTTCAGTAGACAATAGAGTACAAATTCACCACAACAGCTAAGGGCACTTCAGGTTCTTCAATCCCAACTCATTTTACACTTATATACCTAGAGATGACTCACTGAAATGAACCTGAAAGTCTAATTGGAAATAGAAACTAGGGTTAGAACTTTTTTTTCAGGATTTATGATTCATGTTTTTACTTGCTTTTCAAAGAAGAGGCAACAAGACCAAAACCAAATCGAAACTGAAGGTACAGAACATGGAGAGAAAAACGCAAAAGGCCAAGAAGGAAGATAATCACACAGGTTTAGAAGATTATAGGAAGTGTTTGATCATGCTGTTCCAGGTTGTCTACAAAACAAAATGGAACCTGCCTAGTATTAGTTTTAAAAATATTTTTACAGGAGGCCATTATTTTCAGCGTCTGAAAAGCGCATCCCAGTATGGTTGTTTCCTGCATTTCACTTACCATACAGCCTGTTGAGTCCACCCTTCGGTCTGCAACGCACTTAAAATTTTTCCTGCATCCCCCGTTGTCTTTGGAGCAGTCCCTCACTGGGCCGAACGAAGCCAGAAGGTCATCCACACTCTCAAAGTATGTGGACATCATGGCCTCTTCCCTGTGAAAACAGACAGAGAGCTGATCAGATTAATACGAGTTTAAATACCCCTCAATGATACTGGAAACTGTGGAGCATCATTATCAAGTACTGTACAAGTATCCAGAGATCAAACCACACACCACTACCTCCCCCGCACATATGTTTTTAAAACTTACAGTAATTGTAAACGTTCCATCCCTTGTAAAACTTCACAGCAGGAAATTAAAATAAGTAACCTTTGATGGTAAGAAACGTCTGCTTCTGCATCTATTATCGGAATGCATTCTTGTATTAGGAAATGTGATACCAGAAAAATTAATGACCATTAATAGTAAACAGAATGCTGATTTTTTTTCCAGCCAATTAAATGATGGAATACACATGTTAAAGAAATCCACTGCATTTGAAAAGAGGTAGCTAAGTCTAACCATTTAATTAATCTATACAGACATCATATTAAGACGAAAAGAGAAAAAATATAAAAAAGGGTATTTAATTTTTAACAAAATGGCAGGAAAGGTTAGTATCTGTAAGATACAGAGCTCGATACCGAGCAATGTATGAAACTACAGCATCACACTGAATGCCTGATAGCTAATGCAAACAAAACAGACTACTATTTGGAGCTCACACACCATTCATTAAGGAATGATCAGGATCAGAGTACAGCCTCTGCCAAATGTGAGCAGGTGACTCTTTTATAAGCTACTGACATATCTGACCATGATTCCCATTGAAAAAACTGGCACTGCCAACGGCTGTGTAGGCTCTTATTAAGGGTCTTTTGATATGCGTCTCTACACAGGTGACTGTCTTATTCATGGGGAATTAACCAGCCATTATGATGGTAACAGCAAGTTGTTAAGCTACGCTCAGGAGCATGCCAAATGTGCCAGCTGGGAGGGCAACCACCACATAGCTTTACCATAGATAGATGTCACACAGACTTTTGGCTTAATAAGAGAAATGTCCCGTAGTGCCCACAGGCTGTGAGTGGTGGGACATCCAGTGGGCTGATTCAGCCAAAGCACATGGGGTCCCCCCCCACTCCCAATGACTCCACACCCCCAGGGAGAGATAAGTGCAGGTTCTCCACATTTTAAAACTAGCAACAATCTTAAGCATGGTGTTTACACAGTACGTGACATTGGAGGCACTTTGTTATTTTTAATAAGGATCGTTAAATTACTATGACCACCTGACAAATTGAGAAACATCTAAAACTACATGAAACTATCATTTTAAATGCCATGCTTTTTTTCCCTTAATCTAAAGATTATATTAAGAATAACTAAAATGTATCAATATTCATTGCTGATAAAGCATAATACAGTTCATACGTCATAATAGCAAGAACAAGAAGAAGGTTCCTAATCTACATCTCACTGTGATTCTGCAGGGCTGCACATTGCTATAGTGTGTTATGCCTTGTGAATTGGAACTCTGCAATTTTGTGTTTTCTGGCTGAATCCCTTTATTTTCTTTCCAGGCACAGTCAATTCCCAAAAGTGCAGGTTTGCATTACTTTCCAGTGTTTTGCCTTTCAAGGCTCCTCCAGTTCTTACAGCCTCTAAATCCACTCATTACTACTGGGTGCCAAGAAAGCAGCCAGAGAGCTTGTAAGGTTCTGACACCGACGTAAACACCTTGACTCACGATTCTGCCTGCTGGCACTTAGCCACAATGATGAATGATGCTTCTGTCACAAAGATCAAGTTTCGGCCCACTGCTCGCTTTAAATGGCTTTCATTCTTGTTGTGTGCCAGGAATGATTTGACGTTTAAGCTTTCTTGTTTAAAACAACATTAAAAAAAACTATTGTATAAGTAACCTGCACAGGAGAAGTGATCACCAGAGATTTCTGAAAATGCAAGAGAAATATAAATTATCCACAGAGCACAGAAATCTATCCATAATCATCTTTCATATCACAACATTTTGAAATTCTGTTGGCAACATTATTATTCTTTAATTGTTGCTGACACGCATTTATATCTGTTGCAGTGAGGGATGAAGTGACATGATTTTAATGTATTTAATCATTTTCTGGTCTGCTTACAAGTATACTTGACAAGTGACTCATGTTTGGGTCGGTTACTATAGGGAATTCCAAACATGTGAGAGGAACAGATTGCTAAACCTGTTCTATTTTTCTAAAACTTGCAGAATACTCATGTGTAGTTACCGACTAATTATCACAATAATTATGTATGATAATTATGCAGGAAGGATGTTCCAAAGAGAAGGCAGTAGATGTTTTTTACTTAAAAATTCTCCTACTGCACCTCAACCTTGTGCAGGTTCTCCTTTCAGCAGAATGCAGTCCTTGAAGGACCAATAAACACAAGCATAACTTGAACAAGGAGAGGCAAGCTTAGCAATCACTCCCTGTGTACTTCAATGCCATCTCCTTCTACAAAAGCACAGTTAGATTGAAATACCCAGAAGGCTGTTTCATCCAATATTTATGATGCGCTCTTCACCTCTCCCAAATCATGCACGAGCAGTCTTTTTAATAATTTTTCCTCAATTTTTTACATTGTAATAGTCTTTCTGCACACATATATATATCTTTATGTGTTATTTTCTGTACATCATTCTAATAGAACACAAATGTATTTTATTTACAAATTATATTTTTAACATCTTTATCAAACACTTATCTTTGTGAAGCAAGGGGAGTGAATAACTTGCATTCCAACATGCAAAAATCCTGATTAAATTAAAGGTCCTTTAGCAAAAGCTCAAAAACCAACCAAATATCTCCCAGTTAATTAAAATATCTAGAGGAATTTCCAACAGTAAAGTCTGATCTTTGAGACTGTAGTCTCCAAATCAAGCCGTAACTCAAAAGCAGTCCTAAAAGACTGTAGAAACTATTGTGCTCACTATGCAAGAAATCTACATTCATTGCCAAGACTGTAAAATTTAAATAGGTAACTCGATAGTTCTAAAAATTCAGGAAGCATTGGTGTATTTTCAGAAACTAAAAAAAAAGGATTTGGTGAGCTGGAGAGTAACACAAAAGGCAAAACTAATTTCTGAATGGGACGACATCCATCACAGGCTACACACCCACAGATTGGAGATAGCAGGTACAGTAATTCACACAGCAGGTTTGTAGAGAGTGGGAGAAACATGGAGCACATGGATAAACCCACACTGAGAAAAAAACATGCAGATTCCACACAGAAGGCTTCTCACAAATCAGAACCCAGAAACTCTGAGACAGCCGTATTAATTCCATTCTATCTTTCATCCCCCCATTAAAGAGGAACTTGCAAATGTATCTACAACTAAATCTGTAAAATATTGTAGTGCTGTACTCAGTATAGTAAAGGTGCCCAATCAGTTCTTATAAAAGACAAAAACCATCATGACTTATTGGTCAGAAGACTCCTAACAAATTGCTCAATTGTGATCCTACAGCCCAGTCCATGTGTGCTGCATTGGTAATCTCATCAGTCACTACATAAGAAGGGGAACTGTAATTAATTTTGCAATGAGAAGAAAAATGTGATGATTTATTTGTGCAATTCCATACATTGATGCAATTAATGAAAAGTGTTCATCAAAAAGCTTTTCACAGAGTGAATGAGCACAAGAATATTCCCCTGCTGTAATGGATACCAGCATACTGCATGTAACTTATTTTTCACAAACTGCAAGTTAATTGAAGCACATTCAAAAGATTACAATAGATTAATAATTAAAATAATAAAAATTAAATAAAAGATTGATTCTTGAAAGAGGGACTCTGGAATGTCTGCAATGTGCCACAGTGTAGGGCTGGAAAAAGCATTTGTAGGCACTAATATTCCCCTGCTAAACACTGACCATTGCAAGAGACATGGATTTGTCAACAAGCATACTAAACAGTGAGGCAACAGTATCTCAGCAGTTGAGATGATTAAGGTATTGCAATGGTATGGTTTTTTAATAAGTTACTTTAGAAGAGGCTATATCGACCTCTTCATACTGGAGGACTGAATAACAGGTTAGAGATCAAAGACAAATCTAGCCCTATTTATAGGTTTCCCTTAAGCCATCAATTTGTAAAAGTCTTGAATCACAGGTGTGTTTTGATCAAGTTCATAACCAATTAAGTCAAGAACTGCATAGAGTGGTCATTGAGAGCTACAGGGTATTGGGATTTGCATTTCAAAATATGTCTAAACTAATTAGTTGAACAAATCATCTACTTCAGTGCCAAAACTGAAATTTTGATCTGAAACATGATTTGGAAACCACTAATGATGCATTTTGTTCCATCTGAAAACTTTCTGAAGTGTTGTTCCACTTTTATTGGGTCAGTAGATGGAGATAAGTAAATAATGCAAATTCCTTTGTGCTTTAAAGCAGCTAAGAACCTGGCAGGTTTTAAAAAAAAAAAACAAATTTTACAAATAAGCTTAACTTTCATAAATCTTTAATGCAAAATTTTACATTGGCACTCAATTTTACATTTTAACATAATAGAGCACAACAAACAAAACAAAGCCATTTAACATCAGTGTTAACCCAAGGTCCTGGAAACTGATGAATATGGCCATCACCAGGGACACTCCTGGCTAAGATAATGATTACAATGTACTTTATTTTATGTATGCACCATGGAGAAACAGTATGGGAATTTTTGTATGCAACCTCAAGCAACATGAGCCTCACCTCTGTAAACAGTAGGGAAAGATACTAAATTCTGTGTAATATCTGCCTGGGGAGATGGAGAGGGTGATTTGGTAATTAATGCACTGTATGAATAATAGATGGTGCTTGGCTGAACACTCCAGTAATGCGACTGTGAGCTGGGAGTCTAATGAAGTTGCTGTCTGATAAAGAGGTCAGGGGTTGGATGTAGAGGACTGACTGCCTCTTCCCCATTGGCATTCCATCAGACAGCAGTGCAAAAGCTTGAATGAAGTGGACATTGAGGCAAATAAAACATCTTATTCTGCTTGTGGGGACATGACTGTAGAAGGAATGCTTGGCTTAAGCTTAGGAATCGCAGCAGTGGTCTC